AAAAAATGTCCGCCATATTGGATCCGCCATTTTGAATTTTTGAAAACTGACTTCAAATTCGTAATCAGCGACCCCAAAAACCCCCGAGTAGCGAGTTTCAAGCGAATCCGATAAATTTTCCAAAAAAGTGTCCGCCATTTTGGTTTTTTGAGGTTTTTTCAAAAACCTGATGTGATGGGGTTGAATGGGCCTCGGATTCGGATTCAGCGACCCAAAAGACATAGAAAATATATAGTCAGACCCCCAGATCAGAACTCTTTTTTTTTGTGTGGCTGTGTAATGATCGCTAAATTCTATTGTTCGAATTATTTGAACTTTTAACATAAAATCTGATTCTTTAAGAGCATCTGTTTTTACTTCGCTTTTATAAATTTGAGAAATTTTTCGAAACTGAGGAATATCATTTTCAACTCTAAGTAAAACAATTGTACCCAATTCAAATTTTTTTTTTCCAACATGAACTTGTTTAACTGACTCGTATTGCAGGTTATCGTGAGTCAACTGCTCTACATCTGCAAATTTACTGCGAAATTTTACACAACTAACAACTGGGGGTGCAAAAGCTTTTTTCCCTCGAAAGTATTCGCTTTGAACAAGTTGGTGTCGAATGGCCAGAGAATACGATAAATTAACTCTACTTGCATTTACATTGGCATACTTTTTCAAAGAAAAATGTTTGGCTTTTTGGCGCATACACCACATGTTTACTACTGGCCCATGCTTTTCAATCACTAACGGATAATGAGAAACGATATGATGTTTCGGAATTAACCCTTTCATGGCCAGTGGGACACATACGTCCCACCTACTTCAAAAAATCATAACTTTCTTAAAACTTAATCGATTAACTCCACTAAGATCTCATTTTGAAGGGGAGGGATAGAGTAACAAATGTAAATACATGTATTTTTTTAAAAAACTACCCTCTTTGAAATACACCCCTTCAAAAAACCCGAAAAATGAGAAAAATGAAAAAACAGGTATAAATTTCAGAAGAAATTTTTTTTTCAGGCTTTCATAGTAACATATGTTTAAAAATATTGCAACCTTTGTAAAAAAAAATTAATATTAAAAATTCAACCCGAGGGTGCAGAAAAATAACTAAAACTACCCCTAAAAACCAAAACCTTTAAAAATTAATAAATTCGCTTGAAAATTGTTACTTGGGGGTTTTCGGGGTCGCTGATTACGAATCCGATGTCCGTTTTCAAAAATTCAAAATGGCGGATCCAAAATGGCGACCGATAATTATAAAAAATTACTAGATTCGCGTGAAACTTATCACTCGGGGGTTTTCGGGGTCGCTGATTACGAATCCGATGTCCGTTTTCAAAAATTCAAAATGTCGGAACCAAAATGGCGACCGATAATTATAAAAATGTACTACATTCGCGTGAAACTTATCACTTGGGGGTTTTCGGGGTCGCTGATTACGAATCCGATGTCCGTCTTTAAGAATTCAAAATGGCGGATCCAATATGGCGACCGATAAATATAAAAATTCACTAGATTCATATGAAACTTGTCACTTGGGGGGTTTTCGGGGTCGCTGATTACGAATCCGATATCAGATTTAGAAAATTGAAAATGGCGGATCCAATATGGCGGACGAAATGATTAACTTTCATTAGATTCATCTGAAACTTATTACTCAGGGGTTTTCGGGGTCGATAATTACGAATATGATGTCAGTTTTTAAAATTGCAAAATAATGCTGGTGTCATTATTGCCTATTAATTTTGTAGCTTTTAGTGCCTGTTGTTAGGAGTTTAGTATGAAAATGAAAATTACAGACCCAGGCTCAATCGGTGAGGTAGTGGGAGAACGCTACACAGAGAAAACGAAACGACGCGCTGATTGCCTTATAACAGCAGTTCCACATGGGAGCTTCTTTGCTACTGTCGTACCCCCCCCCTTTCATTTACCCAATGCACTCCCCTCTACGCCATCGTGGAGGGGAGTGCATTGAGTATGTACTCAATGCATTACTCAATATGATAATAATCAGTGAAAATTATTTTTTTGATTGTTGAAAACTGAATCCAGTATCTTATAACTTATGAATTAGGGGTGGATTTCAAGGGTAGGGGGTGAGTTTATTATTATTATCCATATCTGTGAAACATTGAAATACTTTTTTACAATTCAGAAGCACTTAGAATCCATATAATTTTTTTCATTTATTCACAAAAACATTTATCATTAAGGGGTGGTTATTTGACTTAAGGGTTGTTTTTCAGGGGTTGTTTATATTCAGTATTAATACTTAGTTATCATAGAAAATTTTTTTTTTCATATTTTCGAAAATCAGTGAAAATTATTTTTTTGATTGTTCCAAACTGAGAATAGTTATGAATTAGGGGTGGGCTTCAAGGGTAGGGGGTGAGTTTATTATTATTATTATCTATGTCTGTATAACTTTCAAATAATTGTTTATAATTTAGAAGCAATTAGAATCTATAGATTTTTTTTAATCATTTACAAAAACTTTCACCGTCAAGGGATGATTATTTGACTTTAAGGGTGTTTTCAAGGGGTTATTGATCCTTTTCAATTTTTAAGCAACCAGGCAATGTTTATAAATAAATAAAAAGTAGATAAGAGCTGAAAAATATTTAATTCATCAATTTGGTTAAATATCAGTTTTTTGGGGTAGTAATGTACCGTGGGGGTGGTTTTAAGGGGTGAGACATGTTAAAAAAAATTTTTTTCTCATACTGAATACTTTAGTAATTAAATCTAATATACATTATAAGTCTAAAGTAACGACAAAAAACTCGGCCATTAAAGGGTTAAATCACCTACTATTTTGATATATAATTTATGATGTTTTTCGATTAACTTTTTAAAACGTGTTATCATCAATTTATCGAATTCGCTCATCAGAGATGTACATAAAATTTCCCTTAACCACTTATATAATTGCCAGTGAGAATCGTTTTTGCCTGATATTAAGTCGCCTACAATAACTCCAAAATTCAAAACAAAAGCCATCATTTGCGAAGCGGTCATTTTTAGTCTTCTATTTTTTATATCGGTTTCAGTTATTACTGGTGGTCGATTTTTAAAGTCATTGAATTTGAAATAAACTATTCGATGATTTAAAATTTTCAAAGTAAAGTAACCTTTTTTGATACAATGAATCACAATTTCGATCATCTCTTCGCGACACATACCCTCAGGGACATCATGCATTACATCGACCGACAAATTTCGAGTTACGTGGAAATTTTTTAAACTATTAAAAACGCAAACTTCTTTTATTCCGCTTTCTTTACTGTTCATATTTTTAACATCGCTTTCATAATCGTTTTCGTCGCGCAATTTATCGTCTTTTTGAACACAAAGCTTTTTTGTTTCAGATTTATGTACTTTACAAAATCTACAGAAAAAGTTTGCTGCGAAACTTTCGACAAAACCTAAAGCACCATTTAGACCAAGATTGTCACCTTGAATAAAAACTACTTGAAAACGTAATCGAATAACTCGATTTCCAGGTAGCGTTAAAATGATACCAATTGATTCCAATTTGTTCAAAAGATCTAATAAATCTTTAAAAATGATTTTTCTGTTAAACTCATGAAGATCATCAGTATGATACAATTGTAAAAGAAAAATATTATTTAACTGTGATTTGAATTCTGGGGGTAGACAACCTACAGATACATAAACACCATTTAATTTATGTTTGCCAGCATTTGGACTTAGAGGATTATCTGTTTCAAACGCATCTTCGTATAAACATAAAGGAAAAATCAACGAATTGGGTGATTTGTCTATTATGTTGTCCCAAAATTCTGTTTGAACTACGTTCGAAATTTTATCTCTATTTTCTCTTAACTTCGAATAATAATCAAAAGTTTTATCAAAAACATCTGGCATTTCAAAAAAAGTTTTCAATACTGAATCTATTGGTATCATTTGACCAGTGACAACAGTAGGTACTTCTACCCCCTTTTTTTCTCAAGTTACGCATCCAAATTGTACAGGGACCGGTCGAATCAATAAATTTTTTTCCTGCAGAAAATTAAAACGTTTGTGTTCCGTGTTTAATTGTGAAAAAACTGTCTAAAGAGAGTTGAACTTATTTTCAATAACGTCTGCCATATCTTTTTTCGTGTTTAATAAAATAAATAATTTTAAATTTTTCATGAAATCACAGTTAAGAAATTGTTCAAATGCACTTACAACATTTTGAATTTGAGACCGCGTCATTGAAAAGCTAAAATTAAATCCGGATATTAAATATAATGCAGATTCAAACAATTCTTCTATCGATAAATTTGATAATAACTGATCAGAAATTTTAACTTCGTCAAATGGAATTTCTTTAGAACTTGGAGTTATATAACTTTCTAATGTCTTATTTTCATTATCTAAGTTTGAATTTACCGAATCAATTATATCATTTTCTATTTGCATTGTGTCATGATTTAAACTTGAACGACTGGCTTCGTTTTGATTTTCTGGAGTGATAGTAATAGCATCTGCTTGTTTGTTCAATTGTGAAACATCTGACATCTCATTAAAGTGTTTTGACTTAACATGGGCCTTCAAATTTTTTAAACTTACAAAACATCTATCACACTTCTCTATATCACATGAAAAACAAGAATCTTGACTTTGAATATTATGCTCAATATTCATATGAATTTTTAAATATTTTGTTGAAAAGCATTTATCACAAAATGAACACTTAGATCTTTTTGACATTGTGTCTATGTCCATATTGTAAGTTTAAAAATACGTTTTAAATTAAGTACAAAAAATTGAACATAGAAATAATTACGAACGAACTTATGTAACTATTAGTACTCTAATATCACAGTAGACATCTTTGGATATAGTTTTGATTTGAAAGTTATTTTAAAAAATAAATAATTTAAATAATTTATATCCAATATAAAACTCTTTGTACTGTACTTTTAAAGTAATAATCTCGAAAAACATTCACCTACTTATGAATATTGCTCCACACAATAGACGCATTCGTGCTTAACTTCTTATCTGCCGAAAATGGAATACCGTATAATCGTTGCAAAAATTCCCAAACAGGTCTTGAATCCAACGAATATTCTGCATTCAACGCAAAAAAACTTTTGAAGCAATAGTCAACACCTTGAAGCAAACCTGCGCATTTGTATTTGACGTCGTTGATGGACACATACACTTCAGTTATATTAGTAATCGTTCCGATGGCAATTACAATTGGCTGTTGAGTAACACCATGTTTCCTCAGTTTCTGTAGTCTTTTCTCCCAGTTTGGTTCCAAATCAGCCAAAGTCTATATAACGATAAATACTTATCTGAGTCATACATTTAAATTAAAGGAGTATATTTTAATTTATTTTATTTTGTTAGAATTATGACTTTCAAACTTAATATTTTATTATTTGTAATTATGGAAGTAAAAATAAAAGTCAGAATAACCGGTACTCTATAGATGAACCCCTCTGAGATTTCAGGCTTTCCTGCTTTCCAACTTTCTGGAAATCGTTTGCTTTTAATTCGTGGACATGTAGGCTTAAACAGGTACGGCTAGATAAAAGAGCAATAATTTCTTGGGATACACCTATAAATTTAAAACACTACCATGAGAATCATTTTTTAAAAATAAATAATTTATAAAAACAATATTCACCTTGCAAACTTAATAAATCTTCGCACGCTTTTTGAGTTGCACCTTCAGTGAGAATTAAAGGTACCACTTTTGGCCATTCCGTAAAAAAAATATTTGAATCGATTTTTTGTTCAATTTCAAAGTCAATCAGCAACTGAAAAGAAAAAAGAAATATGTTTAATATTTTTGTTTATTTTCTTACATTCAAATAACATTTTCATTACCAATTCGATCCCAATTTGTAATTTTAAAACTGGATACTGTTCATAATAGTCCACAATAGACAATTTTCGATCACGAATTTTGACTGTGTTTTGCCACGACGTTTTGATTTCCTCGTTTGTTCTCAACAAATCTTTTAATTCTTCTACATTACAATCATTAGAAGCATTTGTCTCAGGTTCAATAGTTTTCGGCTTATCATTTTTTGCAAACCACTTTCTTAAATTAGTGTAATAGTCGTATAATTTTCCATTAGGATTTTTTTTTTGACATGCGGCAAGGATTGTAATAATCTGTTTCATTTTCCTTTGTAAAAATTGCAACTATTTCTTTAGCCCAAAATCCGAAAACATGGCGCTTTATCCTAAAAAAGCACATTAAATTTAAGACCACATTTAAATTTAACCAAATAAAAAAAAATATATATATAAAATACATATTTTGTATTTAAACGAATAAATTTGTCAAAATAAAATAACAAACTAATAAATTATTTTCTTATTTTTAATTGTTAATTATATAATAAATACTTTTTAATTCTAATTGTAGAACGAAATAATATACAGATAGTTAAAATGTATACTCACGTCAATGAATCTTTCATTAAATGATGAATAATCAATTCGCACAATTTTTTTCTGTCAGATTCCGTTAAAAAAAGTACAACGAAGCAAAGCTTTCCCAATAAAACATCGGTTGAGCAATATTCTCAGTTCCTATTAAATAAATATAAAAATAAACAATAATCTTTTAAATTTTAATTAAAAATTATATAATAAATAAATAACTTACCAATCCATTAACACTTACAGCATCACTTGTGGGATTAAATTGAAAGCCGTCTGCAGAAAGGTGTCCCAATTAAATAAAAATTAATTCTTTGAAATATACTTACAATTATTGCAGGTTTCTGTTTATATTCAGATTCTCGACGGAAAACGAATTTAAATCTATCATCCGCATTTGAAATTAAATTAGAAATTTCATCCTCATTTAAAAGGAAAACTTGCTCTGCTCTTTCGATATTGTTTTCTGAAATTAAATAATATAAATATATTTAATTAAGCTATTTAAATATTATTATTAGGTTCATTAAAATATTTTTTTCAATTTAAAGATTCTCTTAATTCAAAAAGATAAATTATAAGGTTATGTTGATAAAAATAGCAAAATTCTTATTATTTTTGTCAACTTACATAAAATGATTGTTTTTACTCTAAATTTTTATGACACAATTTCGTTATTATTTTACTTTTAAAATGTTACCTTTGAAAAGATCAACATATTCGTTTAATTGGATTTTATTCAGCAGTTCTTCCGCACTATTTTCTGTCTTATTTTCTTCCATCTATGAATTCGAAAAGTTTATTTTATATATTTATTTGTATATATATAATAAATATATATTAATAAATATATATTATATTAATAATATATATTAATAAATATATATTATATTAATAAAAATATATTGAATAAAAAGAATTCTTAAACAACCGGTACTTTAAATTGAGGTTATGTCGCATCATTAATTTATCTTAAATTATTGTCTACGAAAGCACTGCGAATCATCTATTAAACGAAATAAGGAAGAAAAATTATTATTGTTGTTTTTAAACTTACCTTTTTTAAATCACTAAACAATATGGCACTGAATAATAAAAATCCCCTGACAGAAGCACGTCTCCATGAAATCAAGCACGATGTACGGAGACCGACGCCTGTAACACAGCGCAGGCGTTTCGATCACGTTCGAAATCAAACGTACACACGACCTATCAAACGGTTGATCTAACAAATTTAAGGTTCGAACAACCTATCACTTTCGGTGTATCCGGTTATTACAAAAAAATTTCTTAGTTGCTGTTACAAATATTATCTGGTTACTGTAACCAGGATCTCACGTCATCGCAACCTATCATACCACGTTGCTGTAAATGCACTTTTGTAGTCAAAAACAAATTTCACCACGCTCGTGGTTTCCATAACCACGAATCACGTGGTCAACAATTTCTGGTTACTATAACTCAAAAACATGGGCACAGAGACAGTATTATGTTTGCATTGTAACTATATTCATTCAACCACTCTTTTTCTGGTTGTGATAACTTGGTCGCATTTCTCTCAGTGTAGTTACGGAAAATAGTACATAAAACAAATGACAATTGTAGACTTTTTTACATTGCACAGCAGTTTTAAACAATCACTTCACATCTTTAAATTCATCTTACTTGAGCTTATTACTGTTATCTAATAAAAATATTCTTACTTACTACAAAGCCTGTTTTGTCATTAAAAAGTGTCCAATATACAAAAAACACATATGTGGAAATTTTTATTTTTTATATATTTTTTTCTAATCTTCTACATTATTAGATCTATTTTGAATTTTAAAAATCTACCTTCAGATGCGTACTCAGCGACCTTAAAAACCCCTAGATACCAAGTTTTATAAAAAATAATTAATATTTATAAATTTCGACCGTCATATTGAATCCGCCATTTTGAATTTTAAAAATCTGACATCATATTCGTAATCAGCGACCCCAAAAACCCCTAAGTAACAACTTTCAAATGAATTTGTGAATTTTTATAAATTTCGACCGCCATATTGGATCCGCCATTTTGAATTTTAAAAATCTGAAATCAGATTCGTAATCAGCGACCCTGAAAACCCTGAGATACCAAGTTTCATAAAAAATTATTAATTTGTACAAGATTTCCTATCACCTTTCATTTAAGGGTTGTTTTTACCCCTAAAAGCAAAAAATGACCTGATCTAGCAAAACGGCCAGACACGGGTATCTTTTTTTTGGTCCTAGATTCTGAAAATCATTGATTTTTTCGTGTGTGAAAAAGAAAGTTGAATTTTGTCGGACGGTGTAATAGATTTCATTACTATTTTTTAAGAATGCTTAAAATAAAAATAATACAGTTTAATATATTCAGAAACAAAAATTAGAATAGTTTTTGCGAAATTCATAACTGTATTATGAAAACTCTAAATGTTAAATTCTAATACGCCCTGTAACATGTATTAGAATAAAATATTTCATTTTCTGTATTTAGAATTCCGTTAACTGGTATAATCATTTTACATTTTGATATAGTCGATAAGAAAGTGGATTTGTGTTAAATCCTTATATTTACATATAATACTAATAGAAACTTTTTCTTTCAAAAAATGATAGAAAAATATCAAAAGTCACCGAAGTTTGACGAAGTTAAGCGAGTGAGTCCGATCGAGTTTGACCGATCACTAACGAGTAGTCACGAAAAAAAAATGTCAGAGAAAAGTCAAGGAATTTTTTTCTTTAAGCTTTGCTGGACATCCTGATTTTAAAATCATTTTTTAAACTGCAATATTAATTAAAAATAATTTTAATTAATATTTAATAATAAAATACTTCATTTGTTTGTTCATAATTTTAATATAATTTTTATTTCTGCAATATAGACAAGAAAAAGTTTTGATAAATAATTGTTTTTAATTATTCTATATTTCTTTTTCTAAATATAATTATAGAATATTTGTTATAAGTTTGCTTCTATAATTAAATTAAATGATTTTATGATAAAAATTGTTATTTAAAAGGTAATAAAATATTTCATTATTTCTTAATAAATAATTATTTTTATTTTTAAATATTTAACAATGTAATATTAAGTTTCTCACAAGTGCAGGAAAATCTGTCTATTAAACTATACCAACTTTTATTATCAAACCACAATGTTTCGCAATTGAAAAACAAAAATATCAAAATTTCTATTCAGATTTATTAAATATTCTAACAAGATTTCTTTCCGTATATAAATGCGCACGTGCGCATCTATCGATAGACTATAGATTAAAACAAAAAGTTCTCATTTTACTAGCATTTTATTTAGTTTTCTCAAAATCGGCACTTTCAGCCCCGGTCTCCCCTACGTTTTTTTTTGAGGTTTTTGAGGTTCCGTCCATAAACAAATATCTAACGAAGAAATTATTTTTTATTTTATGTCTCTATCTGTTGTAGAAATTTTGGAATCGATCCCCCCATGAAAAATGAATATTTTTTGAAAATGTTGTACATCGCCGCCATCTTGGACTACAAGTGAAAAACAAATTTTTTTCATATTCTTTAAGTAGAAAATATATGAATAAAAATTGATCAAATTAGTTTGAAACTCTTTACTGTCATCTGCCATATTGGATAAAATCATTTTATGTAATAAAAATACATAATATTATTGAAAAAAAACACCTTGGAGAAAACCCTCGGCTGGACCAGACTCCCCCCTTAAAATGCGAAGTCTGGCGAATGTACACTTTCACCGGTGAATGTCCCGTGCAGAAAAATCTTCTGGGGCTGACCTGATTCTATCCAGACCGCCTAGTTTCCAGACTATCCGATTAATCTCAATTATGTTGTCATGTCAACAAATAAAAAATTTTAGTTATCTATTAGTTCTGGACAGCACCAGAGCCTGGTCTGGCTAGACTTTCCAGACCAGCATCACTAGACATGGTCTAGAAATTACAAAATAAAAATTTTTGGTCATCTATTACTTCTGTCCTGCACTAGACCTGGGTCTGGCTAGACCTTCTATACCAGCATCTCTAGACACAGTCTAGAATTTACAAAATAAAATTTCTTAGTTATCTAGACCTTCTGGACAGCATCAGAATTGGGTCTGGCTAGACTTTCCAGACTAGCGACGCTATTCAGGGTCTAACTAGTGTCTGAGTAGCACCAGAACTGGGCCAAGCCAGATCTTGCAGACTAGCCATGCTAGACGCTTTCAAGATTGCACCAGGCTTGACTCTAGGGTGGGAGAAGACATACAAACCATGGATTGAGTCATCAAAAATTTTTGCCCACTGTTGCCCATTGTATGGGCTAAGCATTGGATTTGTCCAGTTCCCATTGTTCAACAATGGGATGATGGGATTTGTTCGTATTTTATTGCTTGATCGTATATTTTAATATTTTCTGAGATACTTTCTTTAAATTTATTTCTGGTAAAACTTTATTTTAAATTTCTTTAAAGCGCCATTTAAAAAAATTTTTGAGATAGAATTTATTAATTTTTAATAATAATTTTTGAATTTATAATCACTTTTTTGTCTCGAAGTGATTGTTAATTTATCAATTTATTATTAAAAACGATAGAATAATAAAGTCATAATGGTTTATATAATTTATTTTTTATGCTTCTTTTAAATTTCGTTAAATATTGAATCTGATTAGATTATAATTTTACTCTAATTTAAAGTAAAAATCCACTTGCAAATTGTATTTAGTTTGTACCTAGTTTGTTCTATATGACTTTTTTAAGGTCATCTGTAGAAAAATAAATAAATACATTAAATCTATCTTTAACTACTTTATTTATTTTTAAACAATCAAAATAAGCAAAATACTAAAAATGTCTATTAACATATAGATGTGCACGTCTTTCAAAAGTTTCCTGATATTGTTGAATAAAATTCTGAGTCAAATTGAAATTGTAAGCAATTTAAAAATTAATTTCAATTATTCATTTTCAATTACGTTAACAGGCTCTGACAAATAAGTTGAAATGGTTTCATTTTCATTTACAATTTTAGTTAAAAAACAAACTTCTTTTAAAGCATTCAAACTTACAACATCGAATTCATTCGGAAGCAGATCAACTTTGTGAATGAAGTTTAGTCCTATGCCAAGTATAACTGTCAATGGATAAGCGATGTTTGC